TTTTTTCTGGATGAATTGACATTTTATTTTCAGATGACCAACGCGCGAGCTCATTTAACTGATTTTGTAGACTAGGCGCTTCATTTTTCTTATATACCTCACATAAGGTTAAATCGTCCACGTATTTCCAGCGGTTATTATAACCGCTGAGAGAGTCATTAACTAAAACTTGAAAGATGATTGGACCCAATTTTGTACCTTGTGGTACGCCACAGGTTTTCTCCTGAATGGAGCAGTCCCTATTCTTTCAACCAATGAAAACATTGTACATTAGGTTTAGCCATGCAGTGAGACAAAACGAATGATAATAAAATGCACGGATGAACAAAATTTGTATGACGAAATAGTGTATATAACCATGTCATGTGACACGAAATCAACAAATCAAGTGACAAGGATCTATTTAGGTGTGTTCTAATATACAAATAATGGATGTTTATGAGTGTTATGGAAGAATATTCAGGTTCAGAGGGTATATATTAAGGTAGGACGCCGAGAGTTTGTATCAGTCCGTTTTACTTCTTAACGAAGAACATCGTTCCGACAAGAAGAAAGAACCACATAAAGGTAAAACATTTTCTAATTTAATTTCATAGTTGAGATGCTCCAAAACCAATTTCAAGACAGAATTAATTTGTTTTTCCGAAGCTTTCACAGGTTTGCAGACATGTTTTACATTGTTATACAATACTGTATTTTTTTTATAATCTTGAATTGTTGTATACTGTAGTTCATTTTTTGTTTCATTAAATTGATTTTCGTATTAAAAAACTCGTGTATCCGTATTACGCTATATCTGCGGTAGTGGTATTTATTAGAGGCCCCTGACCCTCATATTATAGAAAGAGGTTTTGTTTATGGAGCAGCATCGATCCATTCGGTAATTTTGTAAATACTCTGCTATTGTGAAATATTTATAAATTAAAAAATAAGCCTACACAATTCACACATTAACGGCTCTCAAATTAGTATAGGCCTATTGTGTTTTACGGTTTCATTTTGGACACCGGGATAAGTAGTTTCATATTCAGAATTTGATGCTTTCATGTCACTAAGTAGACCAGGCCCAGGCCTCTGTGATTAATTGAGCGACACTACTGGTAAAATAAGTTTTTGCTTTTGAAATTCCCTGTAAGGGTGGCAACTGAAACTCTGTAGATACAGTGGCGCTACGGAAACCTCCTAGATACGTCGCCAGTGTTTATAATAACCCCTGTGGATTCTCCTCATCATTTCGCGTAAATGGATTCTCTTCATCATTTTAGCTTTTGTGAGAGCTTCCCCCTAGACGCACTAACACTCACTTCATTAATAATCTCCTTGTTGAATGTGTTCAGAAATAGCAAAGTGGCCTTATTTTCTCGAAATTTCTAAAGCTGGCGACCATTAAATGATGTAAGTCTATAATGCCCAAATCGGACAAATAAAAGTACAAAAATATACATTTTCGCGTTCCTATAAAAAGTTTAAGGAAAATTCCTTCATAAATTACCTTAAATGCATAATTGGTTTTCTATTAAATATTTCAAAAAAATTGAAGATACTGTAATTAAAATAATAATTTGATGCATAAAAGAAACAATCTTTAAAAAAAAAGCAATTTTTTACAACATAAATCTCTGGAATTCATATAAAAATTTAGACATTATTGTAATAAACAATTACGTAAAAATAAGGTTGACCGCGAAAGTAATGCCACTATTTAAAACTGGACAAATGGCTAATCCAGAAACTATAGACCAATTTCAGCATTATTCGTTATCTCCAAAATTTAGTGAAAAGCGGTTTTCGATTAACTATAGTTTCTCATAACCTATTGTTCGAAAATCAGTCGGGTTTCCGGTCATCTTTTTCCACATTTATGGTCCTGTTAAACATAACAGAAAAGGTTATAATGTTAAAAAGATGTGAATATATAATGCCAAATGATATCCTAAAAACTATTGCTAATTCCATTGAATCATCTTACTTAAACTATTGTAATGTTATTTTGAAAAACTGCAGTCCTTCGGTTTTGAAAAGAATACAAACTGTTCAAAATAGGACTGCCAGATTGGTGTACAACCTAACTTGGGACACAGCAAGCAACTTCATTAATTTCATTTCATTTATTTTATTGGTACAAACGGCCCAGGGGCTGCGACGGCAGCAGACCGCCATAACATCATAACATCGTAAGTGGTGCCCGCACCCTCTCGGACATAAGGTACATTCAAATTTACAATATTATAATTTGTACAAGCAATTATTCAAAATTATGGAAACATCCAAATTTGCAAAAAACATTGAGAATGTATACAATACAGTGAAAATTAATATATAATAAAGTAATATATAAAAAAATCAAAATTGGCTCCCTTTATCTCATAACGCAATGAATATGTTTAATAATGATTTACAAAATCGATTGAAACAGGTGTCCACCTCTTTACAAAATAATATAATCAAAACAAATATGTTTTAAATACAATTTCCAGTACAGTGCAACCAATTTACTTATTCCTAAAACAAACACATGTAGTGCAATTATTTAATTATTCATAAACCGAACACACGTAATAATACAGTGAAAATTAATTTAAAAAAATTAATATATAAGAAAGTACACAAAAAGTAAAATTGGCTCTCGGTATCTCATAACGCGATGAATATGTATGTTTAATAATGATTTACAAAATTCTGTTGAAACAGGTGTCCACATATTTACAAAATAATAGGCCTATATTCAAAACAAATACAATTTCCAGCATAATTCAACCAATTTCTTTATTCCTAAACCAAACACACGTATTCTTTCATATCGAGGCGCAACCAATTGGACTGTACACAATTTTGAAAAAAATGAAATTTTGAAAATTCAATATCTCACTTTCCATAGTTACATTATACAAATAATAATAAAAAATGAAAAATAAATTCTCCCCCTCCCCAAATAAAAATTAATCGCTCCTCCCCCTATCCCAGTCGCCCCCAAATTCACGGTCAAGTACCGGTAGTTAAAAACCACCTTCTACCTTGTTTTGCGAATTAGCGCCCCTCAACTAATAATCGAAACCACCCACCACTTGGTCTTCGCTCACCCCCGACCCACCCATCAGAACCCCCATTTTAAGACTTCTAGATGCGCCACTGTTCCCCAACCTCGAGGTCGGGGTTTCAATCCCTCGTTGTGTCCCACCAGGAGTATAAATGGGTATTTGGTTGGACTGCCTGCTCCTGCGCTGATTACCAGAATCAACACTTAAATCATGTTTACCCATTGACCAGGAAAAAGAACTGCGCTTTAATTATAACCACAAAGAAAAGAAGCATTAATAAATATGCCCGTACCAGTACCAGGCCTATGTCGCAACTTGAGTTCCGCTCTCTGTTTTAGCAAATCCAACCAGTGGCGTAACGAGTCGTGGGGCTCGGGAGAATACTTTTTGGGGCTCATGGATTGTAGTAAAGTATTTTCTGAAATTGAAAGATTACATTAAAAGCAATGTAAGTATCGTTAAAGAATACAAGTATACTTTAAACCATAGAATTAAATTTTATTTTCACCGCCTCCACGCCCATTTGGACTGGTGGACCTGGGGCAATTTCCACCACCCCCTCCTAGAGCCCATAGGTGTTACGCCACTGAAATCAACGTTCGTAGTTCATAGTATCTTTTTATGTATCTAATCTTCGACTTGGTCTATCTACCATATTTATTTATTTATTTTTTGTTTCCCTCTTTCTTTTCTGTTAACATTTTTTGTTATAGGCCTCTAATTTAATTGTTATATTTCCGTCTAGAAATGGCTTTGTTTACTGGTGCTCTGCTTGCAGCAGTTATAATAGTAGTAGCAGGTGATTGTACTAAACCACGGTCAGCATTTACGGCAAAGATGACAAGCAGCATGGTCGGAGACAAAAATAAAAATTTACCTATCGTCTTCGATACAGTCTTGACAAACGTCGGCAATGACTACAATTCTGAAGATGGCAAATTTACTACCAGAATTGCAGGAACGTACGTTTTCTCCTTAACTCTAATGAGTGAGCACTCATCTGACAGCCATGTGTATGGTTGTTTGCTTTTGAATGGCGAAGACCAGGTCTGCGTCTGGTCCAATGGACGCAACGGCTACGAGATGTCAAGCAATACGATCACAGTTAATTTGGAATGTGGTGATGTCGTTCACAATATCCTAAAAAAGAATCGCATTCGCTCACTTCACAACGACGGTCAAGCTGGATACTGTTCATTTACTGGCTTCTTGCTTTATCCAGAAGTATAAATAGGCATCTGGTCACTCAGTAGCCTTACTTGGTGGTTATGAATTGACAGACAGGCACACGACATGATAAAATAAAATTCATTACATTGAATTTATATAGTTTACGTGTTTAATGACTATTTTGGCACTTTCATTAACACATTTAGATATATTAGTTCACGTGTTTAAATGACTACTTTGTCACTTTTCTCACATTTAGGTAGGCTATTATGGCACTGTCTCTTATACACATCTAACAATGAAAAGACGATGTACAATCATTGACGGTTAACACAAATTTCTTAAAATATAATGAAATAAAATCGATATTTCGATAGCTCCTGCCTAAAGTGAGTAAAGTTGGAAGATCTAACATACATGTAGTATTAAACTTGGATTTCAATATGTTCGGTGACGGTTACTATATTCTTTATTAAATGATTCACTCAATAACTTTGTCAGATTCCTCTTCTGTTACATTTTAATTTATATTATTTATTGCATTATATTGCTTGCTGTTTCAGAATGTTTTTATGTAAATATGCATCAGCACACGTTATACATATAACATTAACATTTATATAGCGCACATTTCTACAACATACATCGTAATCAGCGGCGCTTTACATGACTAGTTTAATTTAATTTTATTTATTTACTTATTTTTTATATATTTATTTATTTTTAATACTATAATTATAAAAACCAGAATGTGCACTATGTTCAAATAAAATAAAACAAAAGTGACTTCTACTATGTTTGTGACACGTGCTCAATAAAAGTCCCCTACCCTGATAATAACCCAGAGGAATATTCATTAGAATAATATTTTTTTTTTCACTATAAACGATAATGCAGCAATTAACATTGTGGGGTTCATAACGGTTACGGATCAGGGGGTGGATTGATCAAACTGTTAATAATACGATATTAACTACTACTAATAGTAGTACAGTAGTAGTAGTAGTAGTAGTAGTAGTAGTAGTAGTAGTAGTAGTAGTACCGTAGTATTAGTGGTAGTAGTAGTAGTAGTAGTAGTTGTGAGGATGTTGAGATGAATTTTAAGTTTGGCGGTTGACGTTAGCGAGAAGGGGGGGGGGGGGGGGGGGGGGGGGGGGGAGAGGTTCGAAAAACTTGTTTTGGGGTAGGCCTAAATGGTCTTCAGTGTATGAAATTCCTCAATTATAGCTTTGGACAACTGGTAAATACGGGAATTGTAGTCAAATATGAGGGTATCCGTGTCATTTTTCGATTTGACCTTTGTATTCGAGAAGGCTGAGTCGTAATTTGGATGATGCTTTTTCAATGTTGCGTTTGATGAAAGATATAGGGTAGCTATACTTTGTCTTAACTTGCATACGAGAGTGCTGTTGTGTTTATTATATTGTGTCAGGGAAGCATATACGTTTGATTCGCAGTGCTTTGCTATAAACAATGGATTGTTTGATGCTAGTTGGGTGAGCACTGTTAAAGTCGGTGTACGGTAAGAATGGCCCTGGAAAAAATGGCCCTGGAAAAAATGGCCCCGGAAAAATGGCCCTGGAAAAAATTGCCCCGGTAAAAATGGCCCCATATGACAGGTAGGTAAAAATGGCCCCAATACTCAAATTCTGAATTAAAACTGATTTTCTTGAGTCATTATATGCATTTTTTTATCTTAACTAATTTAGTTTTTAAAAGGAATCTCCCCAATAATCAAATTCTGTATTAAAACTGATTTTCTTGAGTCAATATATGCATTTTTTTATCTTAAATAATTTAGTTTTTAAAAGGAATCTAACATCAAATTGCCATTTACATTTTACTTTTTGCAAGAATTAATATTCAATGATAAAATATTCAAATATAAAAAAAAAAGCCATGAATTACACTTTTTATTTTTTTTCCATTTATATGTTAAAAAATAGCAACAACATAATCAATAAATCAACATAAATCATGCATTTATTAATACTAAAATAATTTACTTGTGGCCGATTTCACGGAAGCGGAATCACAATTTTCCAGAAATTCAATCTGTGTATTGGTAAACCCCACAAACAGTGGGTTAGTATGAACATCAAATTATTGTTTTTTTTTTTGTTTTTTTTTAAGAAAAAGAGAGTTCTACAATCATAATTATATGGTTTAGATGGGGTTTGCAGTGTGTTAAAGGTTTGTGGTGTATTTGCAAGTATTTTTTCATAAAAAAATCTAAATTTTAACCAAAAAATAGTTATGAATGTATTTAATTTTTTTATTGATATACCAAGTCAGTCAATCACAATTGATTTTCTACAGTGTGTTTTGGGAGGTTTGTGGGATTTAGCAATACCACTTAATCCTACCAGAATCACCCTACCCTCACAATCACATGCCATTTTAATTCTTAGCATAATTATACATAATTCTAAGCCAGTAGTAGGCACTTGGATTTAGTTAGTGATGAGAGTAAAAACCAAGTATGCAACTAAATTAGTTGCTTAAATAAATGTATTCCTAATTATTCAGTTTACTAAAAGCCATACTTCATTGAATAAACTCTAAGCAGACGGACAATTTATTGCTAAGTTTGCGAGAAAGTGAGCCTCTCCCTTTTCAAATACATACACAAAATTGATCCAAATCCTTTAACTACTGTTTATTTGCATTGTTTATAACATGTTAAAGTTAATTCATTTGATATTTAACAAAAGTGGAGTTGTGGTTATCTATGAGTTGCATATTTTGGTAGTTGAAGTACTGTATACTGTATGTCACTCCTCTACTTTGTTAGTGAAATAACGTTTTTAAAACTTTTATTTCTACTATCAAAAAATGTTATTCAATGGCCATTGTTTTTCGATTATCTCTCAGAACATTATTTGCATCTACTGTAATTTTTTTTTAAACAAATGCTTTTCAAGACATAAAAAAAAATCACATATTGATCTCAGTTCAAAGGAAAAAATAAAACTTCTTTCTAAATTTACAATTTTCACCTATAAACCTCTTAATTTCACAAAAGAGTGGGTTCTTTTCCAAACAAATACACCCTGCCAAATATTGTGTGTTTAGATTAGATCTTTTGCTTTAACTTTGCAAACTGAGATCATTTAGATACTATTTCTGTATAAACTATTTTTTTCATATTACTGTAAATCTAATGGGTTTTGATAAATTTACTCTGCACTACGGAATTTCCAATAAAAAAAAAAGAAAATTAATTAAAAAGACCATAGATTAAAAATAAGTAAGGCATAACATATTTTTAATCTATGCTAAAGCATAACTATTTTTACATAATGAAATTTAGTAAATCAAATTATTATTTGTGGCTTTTATTTATTAAATCATTAAGAACATAATCTCAAAACAAAATTTAATGACAAGAAAGATCGACGTTTCGGGTCCATCATGGAACCATTCTCAAGATCAAGTAAATTGAAAAAAACTAAAAACAAAAATACCAAGCAGTGACAGGAAGTAAGTAATTAATTTACATATCAATAGGGCTTTAACTTTGTAAACTGAGATCATTTTAGATACTATTTCTGTATAGTATTGTCTCACACAAGGTATTTAATTTAACAAATGAATTGATTATTGACGATCTCTGCCTTTTTCATTTAGGGAGCGACCATAACATATTAATTCTAGACATTAATACTCCTAGTACTAACAGAAAACGTAAAGACGCACCATTAAAAAAGAAAGTCTGGAATATTCCTGACAATTATAATTGGGAATCATTTAAAAATAAAATAACAGGAAAGTTTGAGAACTGGGACCCTGCCCACTTAAATGCGAATGACGCATGGGACGAATGGAAAACGAAAGTTTTATCAGCAGCGGAGGAATCTTTCGGATCGAAAACTTTAAACGGTAAATGTAAATCCTGGTATGATGAAGACGTCGAAAAATCAATCAAATCTAGGAAAGAAGCTTGTAGGATCCATCGTAAATATTCTATGAATTCACAAGACCCTAACTTTAGCATAGATACTTGTAACTCACTATGGGTAAATTACCAAGAAAAGAAAAACGAATGTAAATCAATAATAAAACGTAAAATAATGAAAAATAAAGTAGAGAATTGTTCAAAATTAATGGAAAGAGGAGGACCACAATGCCGTAGTTTCTGGACAGAACTCAAAGGGAGGAAACCCAGAAATATAATAAACTCAG